TGTTTAAGGCTATCAAGTTGAATTTGAAGAGTTTCTATTTGTTTTTGAATATCTTCAGCAGTTGCCATTATGGAATGATTTTATTTAATAATCTAGATTTAAATAAGATTAATATTTCAAATAAACTTTCACCAATATCTATGTGGCAAATTGTAGCCACAAGTTGCTCAGTTTTGAGCAACATCATCAAAAACGCAACAAGTTAGTCCTATAAAAAAAACAATTAAGATTTCTGCATTTCCATTTATGTTTGAAGTTCTTAATTTTATCTGTGTTTCGCTCAGATATGAAGTACAAATCCAGACTGATAAATTTTTACCCGTCGGGTTGGTGTGATTTGACCCACATTTAACGATCATGTAACGAAAATCAAAGTTTATCATCCCTTAAGTAACGTCCAACCGACTGATAACAATTTCGCATCCTTAAATTAGCTGGCTCAATCTAGTTCCATTTTAAACGCTGAACAATCAAATTTTTGATTTCCTTTAAATAGTTATTTTACTATTATTAATAAAACCTGCAATTAAATAAGATTACGGATTTGAACGCCTGTTAAAAGCTCGCTTAATAGTTTTGAGAAGATAAGTAAGTATTCACCTTTCAATTGTCCCATTCTTGTTAATTCTTTAGAAAATGTATTCCAAGAATTATTAAGAGAGATTTACGGAGAAATCCTTTATAGGATGTTGATAATGTATCAGTTGATTGCACCTTCATGTTATATATACACTTTATTAATTCTTGTTTAATTCATTTTCAGACACCGAACAATTCAAAATCGTTTTCATTTTCACAGATTTTGCCATCATGGAATTAGTTTGTAAATTTAAAAATTTTATTGAGTTTGGAATTGGGGATAAATACACGAGTATTATTACTTTTTCTTCAATAACGGAGCCAAATACAAGCATTCGGACAATCAATGGAAATCATTTGGATGGAAAAAGTGACAAAGATGTAGAAGCTATTCGTTTTGAGAATATAACAGTCAATTACTTCCCTCAAGGTCTGAACAAAATTTTTCCTAATTTAAAAGCTGTTATCATTCATAAATGTGGATTGAAATCAATAACGCAAAGAGATTTGGTTGGATTAGAAAGTATTGAGAGACTATCGTGTGAAAACAACAAAATCACTTCACTTGCAGATAATCGGTTCGCAAATATGAACAAACTTATTGATATTTCATTCAAAAACAATGATTTGCATAGCATGTCTTCGGAACTTCTCAAGCCATTATTGAATAATGATTTAGAATTCGTAGACTTTAGTGGAAATCGTTCCATTGATGCTGTTTATTGTGACTCATCTTATACGCATATATTGAGTAGAAATAACGTTGATTCTATAGCCAAGTTGATGGCCATGATTGATGAGAAATGTGATAAATCAATGAAGGATGAACAGACACAAACAATCACACAACGGACGGATTTAAAAACCGAAGGATTCAAGGAACATTGGACGACTGGCCGTTTCTCGGACATCACGATTGTCACAGACACGGAGTTATTCAAAGCACATAAAATTGTTTTAGCTGTTCAGAGTTCAGTGTTCACTTCAATTTTTGAAAATAAGATGAAAGATCGACCATCTGATGAAATTCAAATGAAAAATATAAATCCCGAAGTTGTGAAGATTTTTTTGAAATTTCTCTACACAGATGAGATCGAAAAAGAAGAAAATTCAAATCTGCTGCAACTTTTCTCTCTCGCAGCGAAGTTCAAAGTCGAGAATTTAATGAAAATTGTTGAAGGGATGATCACAGATGATCTAAACGATGACAACGCCATTGAAATATTTGAACTTGCGTGTCGTTTCAATTGTGATGCAATGAAAACTTCAGCTTTTAAATTCATTCAGTCAATATTTGATGAGCCATTGAAAGACGAACAGATGAGCCAACCGGAAGTTGTAAGAGAACTTGTTGATGCTAAACGAAAAATCGATTTAATAGTGAGCAAATACAAAAATCTCCAAATTAAATAAAATTTATTAAAAATGTTTCGTAGTGAATAAAAAAAAATGTCATCATCATCATCAAATTGTTTTCGATTGACTGATGAAATTTCCACAATAATAAAAATTAAAACTAAATTTAATGTGTGACCACGTCTACTTCTTTTCCATCTGCTTAGAAACATCCTTAGAACTGTTTTGCGCTGAGTCATCTTTGGATGGTTGTTCTTTGTTTGAAATTTGCTTGACACTTTCAGCAGCAATTGCTTGAGGTGGGGGACGATATGAATACTCGATGCTACCTCTAAACAACTTGAAACAATTTACAAATAGCTTGAAGTTGTGACTTCCACGCCCTGACTCATGTTTGCCTGTAATTTCTTCATCGTCGGAGTCTTCTTGGGTAGTTAATGCTTCTAAAAACTTTTCTTCCACATTGCTACTGTTCTCAAACTTTCTCAATTCCAAGAGAAATTCATTTTTCAGATCGTCATCTATGTCAGATGGATTCTTATGATATTCTTCGATTTTCTTAAAAGCACGATCAAGATTTTGTAAATCACTCATTCTTTTTTAAATTTATTATGATGTTTACACTTTGAAATGTTGTGGGCGTAACAATTAATTAAACTGCAAGCGATGCTGTAATGAACTGTTTGCTGTTGTTGAAGAATTTCGGGTTAATGAATAAATTTTTAACTTCCAAATGTTTGTTTCTCAAGTTCAGTTTTATTTCAGTGAAACTTGCTTATAACTATGTGAAATATCAAAAAAAACCTAAAATAATAATTAATTGCGTTAACTAAAATTCAATTGCAATGAGAAAATTTTTATACCTTTCGTAGGTTTTTTAAGTGCTTCGTGCGACTGACTTTGAGGTTGGTAAATAAAAATGATTTGATCTAAAAACATGAAAATTATGATAACTTATGCCCTCAGTAGTGGAAAGAATTAATGTTTACCTTTGTGATCGGTGGTTAATTAATTCAATTGTGAAATTAATTCAATTTGAAGATTCGATTGTGCGTAATCGGGATCTGAAGAAAATAATTTCAATTACATTCTGAGCATTCAAAAAATAAATTCCACTACCTTAATGTCAGGAGAAATTCAACAATTATTCTCGCTGACTGACTAATTGTGATGTGAGGGACTTGACTTTGATGTGCGTATCTAAAATATTATGTTTTCTGTCAATTAAATACGATCAACAAATGAATTTAATTTTCATACCTCAGTCAAGTTAATGTTTTGCAATTTGATTGCGGTTTGAGTGATCTTCGTGATCAGAATTTGTATGGCGCTGATGCCTGAGAAGATAATTAATATATTTAAACTAATTTGATTGCACTGCACGTGAAATTGACTTTAATTTTTACCTAATTAATTTTTGTTGCATGTGGTTTGAAATTTTACTTTTAAAAAATAATTATTTTGTACTTGTATTTGTTTTCTAGTACGTAAATCGTTTCGTTAAATTTTCAAAATTATTTTTTGTTGTTGTGAAATTTCCGTTAAGGAAACACACTTTGCGAGCTGAAAATATTCTGCGGTGAGCGGCTATTTTTCCGCTATCTAAATATATTGAAACATAAGGGAGAGGTTTCAATACTCTCGTTTTCAGTTGTGAATGATGAGTTGAACTTAAAGGTTTGAAATATTTCAGAGCTCTTGTGAAACATAAGAAGAAAAAGAAAATGTTTCAAATCGATAAAAAGTTTGTGAGAGAGTTTGATTATTCAAATAGTTTTCAAGAAACACGTGATTTACTTAACGATAACTTTCGTGTCTTAAAACTTACATGCTTCGATTATACTAATTTAAAAAAATCATTTGACGATCATCAATTTAATTTAATTCTAAATTCTTCACACTGCTTTATTATCGTTATCGAGCTTGAAAACACTGATAACGCACTAAATTCTGACGAAATAGTTAGCACACTTAAGGCCGCATTGAGTGGGAATAAAAAATATTTTATGATAAACTTACACAACGCAAAATTGAGAGAAACATTTTTATACTACCAAGGAGAAGTGAAACACATTGACAGTAAAATTAAAGAACGCGATGAAGATGATGATTCAGAGAGAGATAAAAATATTCACAAATTTATTCGTGGTTCATTGATGAATCAGTCAATTCTTGAGTGTACGTTAAGTCTTTCGATTATTAAAGAAAATATTGTTCAGGCAATCTCAGATGACGATCCATTATTTTTGAGATTGATGTTAGCTTTCAATGTGAAGTATGAGAAAGAATTCTTGAGAAACACGTTACAGACATTAATCAAAAGTTGTAGTGTGCACACACTTGCATCTTTTTTTTATCTACCAATCGTTGATCTTGGATGTTCCTACCCACCAACGCAGTTGATTGAAGAGGCTGTGCATTATACATTTACAAATGGTGAACACATTTTAAGTGTGGCAGCTCTTGAAAATGATTCTGACGTAGTTTCGCTGTTACTTCGTGTGGGAGCTGAAGTTGAACATCTTGACAATAAAGGTAAAAATGCTTGCGACTATGCTTTAGAAGGAAAAAGAGATGAGAACCTTAAGCTTTTGATTGAGAATGATGCTAGATTTCCTTTAGAATTTAAAGGCAAAATGCCTGCAGATTTCGAGACATCTCAGTCAAACGTGAAAAAGGAAATTTTTGAAATTTATCAACATAGAGTGAATTTTCATGAAACGATTATTGATTCAATTAATGAAGGAAACGATTCTGAGAGCGTTATTAAAGAATACCGTGCAACAAATCCAAGCACAAAGTTTGCATTTACCCTGTCCGAAAAGTATCCTTTTTCTAAAAGCATTATCGCTACGGCATTGGAACACAAATATTTTGATGTTTATGTTTCGTTGGTGCTCCACGATTTCGCTCAAAGCAATAATGATAAAGAAATTATTGATAATCTCCAAGAACAAGAAAATCAAACCATCAACGCTCTCTTACAAGAAAAATTTACGAGATGCAATCTTTGGGAAATTCGTTATTTGATATCAAAAACAAGAATTGGGTTTGGAGTAGAACACAACGAGTATTCGAAATATTTTGAGATAATAAAAAGTGTGTACGAATATTTAAATTCAATTGAGGATATTCGTGGTATTTTAAAAATTGTTGAACATTCTAAAGCTCTCTCAATCGTTGTTGACTTCAAG